TAAGCTCTCTAGGCTCCAGAAAGAAAGAAGTCTTAACGAATTATTCTTTGCTGAGGTTGGAGTATATATGATTACTAAATATGTGTACGTAATTCGAAGAATTATGATGAAATATAAATAAATTTTACATATTAGTAGGCCTGATCTGTTACAAAGCAAGACGACTAAGTTTCTGTGGTTTTTAACGTTTCAGTGGTGCTAGAACCCGAAAGTTTAAAACATTACTAATACCAACGAGCACGCCATTTGTGAAGAAAATCTTAGCCAGCTTCGTTCTCACAGCCAGTTTTCTAAGCCTCATTCTGATTCTCATATTTTCGGTATCTTATATTCTACAGAAACATTAAAAAGCGACATGGATATAGCATTCTCTTGCATTTGTTCGAGTTTGATCTAACTCGTCCCACTGCGGTGAAAACGTTCGCAGTTGTTAGACTATTCAATAGCTTGTTTATATGGCACACATAAACATAAGCACTTCAAAATCGTCATTGAGTAAACCAAGAAACATATACGAAAACACGCGATCCTAGAAAGAAGGAAACATGTTGCCTGTATTGTCATATGATTTCTCCCATTTGTTATATTTAACGTTGATTTATAACATAAATTAGATATTTGTGGCCTAGCTGCCGCGAGTGTTGACTGCAGAATTGATTACTGCCTTGGGCGTCTGTGTTTTTGTGTGTAGTAATTAACCCAACATGTTTTGTTGTTGAAATTTTAGAATTAATTTCCACTCCCGTAAACTTAGAACTGGTAAACTAAATGCATACTCGGTCGTCCATACTGCGTTACACATTATTGATTGTGATTTCTTATTTTTATTCGACGAGACCTTAAATGAGTAGACAGTATTTTAAACAAACAGAAGATTAGTCAGGTTCTTGGTGGAGTCAGAGAAACATCAAATAGGAATGGGTTTCTTATTCTTCGGTCAGACAAGAGTGGTAAAAATGTTTTAGAACTGGAATGTACATTTGCAAATGCATTCTCCTCACTGCCCTTCGTGTTGATTACATAAACAAATTTATTTTCCAACCAGAACCTCAATGGGAAGTCAACTGAATCAGAGAACCGCGTACACGCTGCAGGGAATATATGCAAATCCAGTGATTGAACAAAGTCCAGATTTTGCTAATTATTAATCTAAATAATTTATTGTTGTAATGTTAAATTCCATGGCACAGAGTTGAAAATTATTATCATTGCGGTTTTTCATATCTTGTTAGCCTTTATAATATTTTATTGTCGACAGTAGCCGGTAATTTTAATTACAAATCGATATTGCCACGCAGTCGGTAACAGCCTTTATTGAACAGAAATTTTTACTCAATTCTCCAATGAATATTGCACTTAAAACCTGAAGAGACTATAAACGAAATTAACTATGGAACTCAATTCATGTTTTAAAAGTGCCCAACATTATTTCAGAGCTGTTCACTCTCTTTAAATACTATCATTAATTCTCTTTGCATTGTTTCCAATAAAAGTTCTAGATCGTAATTGGATTGTTTTGTTTTGTAAAAACGTTTTGTGTTATGAATAGGTTTTGGCAATATCGAAAAAGTTCGATTTCAGTTTCGTGTATATTAGCAGTTATATTTGACCAATACGAACCAGAATTTTATTGTATGTGGTTATCATCGTTTTGGAGGGTCGCATCGCTTCCATCTTCAGACATGAACCGTACACAAAATTACACGACGTCAGAACACAGAAAACCACAGTTGACATCTTCACCGCCGTGAGATCCTCAGATATGAATATTGTAAATGATTTGCTCTTGTGTCTTCTCCGAAGTCATTCTTCATAATTCAGACATAGAGAAGAGGCTGCTTAAATGATTAAGCTTAGCAGATCAAGTGTAAATAGTAATATAGTTCGATTTCTGTTGAATCCTGTGGTAAAAATTTTCATTCTCTGAAATATTTACACATTAATGAAGTGTGTACAAGAGAGCTACGCATTTTGCATGCAGACAAAGTAAAACCCAGTAGCTGCAGAAAGCAGATGCATTAACTCTGGCCTCCTCTTAAAACTACGAGAGAGAATTGCACAATTCCCTCGTATGGAACAATTAAGTTAATTGAAAGCTTATCTGAATATTCTATGAGGACTGAGTAAATTTGTTAAGAAGATGGAAGCTCTTCAAAGACAAACATGTTTTTCTGTCATTTATGACGTAAGGCCTGAACACATTCTACTAAACTCTCGTCCTGCAAGTTTGTTGATGACAGCATTTATTTAATTATGCACTTATCCGTTAATTTTAATAATATTGTATTTAATATAAAAATCCAGTCGTAAGGCGTACCCTCGTAAAGCACATTTCCTGATTTCATTCTCACGCAAACATTTTATAACCTATTTAAGAACAATAACTTTAATAAAGTCTTCTCGGGTTATCAGCCGTGTTAGATGTTGATTAATCGCCGACGTTTCGAGGACCTTCTCAGTCCTCATTTTCAAGGCTGTTGACTATGTGTCTCGTAGCGCGAACTAGTTCAGTACCAGCTATGAATCTGCGGCCTGTAACGGCACCTAGGCCGGCTATACTGACAAGACTCTTTAGTGGTTTTACTCAGTTTCTTTCAGTGGTGAACATTGTTTTGTAACAAGTGAATTTCTATAACTCGACATGTTATAAATATTAGACCTGTTTAAGAGCAGAGTGCTGTTGTATTAAAACACACAACGTAAAAGCTGTCGGAAACCGATATTTGGTACGCTAGAGGCGAATGATTTTTTTTCACGCTTAATACGTTTAAATCTAAAGTGCTATTTAAACCATGAAGAGCCGACATGTCACGTGTTAAAGTAATGATTTCTCACAGCTCAGCAATTGTTATCATGACATAGAGCTCAATGAAGAATGGAGATGAAATGCTTCAAATAAAAAAAAAAATTCTGGCTGGACTGTGGTATATCGCGATTCCTAACGGTTCATCGGTCGCGCTCAGCAACGACCATTTCACTGGGAGGCGTCAGCTGAAGCGAAAATACGGCCGCTCGTGCCTCACAGAGCGAGCATAATGATGTGTCAACAAGATGGCGGAATTTGCTAACGAAATTGTCAGTATCGACATCAGAACCAAGATATGTAAAAAATCCTGGAAGGAGAGGGTAGCGAAAATCTTCCGCCATTGATCTTAAATAAAATTGTCAATATGATGACTTGAAGACCAGTGTAGAATCTACTCCCTTATCGTAGTGTATATGGGATACGGGCTTGCCTCAGATAATGGACACTGTCAATAATAATAATAACGGTGTAATGATTTGACGGGAAAATACACTGTCATTATGAGACCCCCATATTTACGATTGTTAATTTTCACAAGTTAATTCACACTTTTACATCTACTGCTAACTTAACTTGTTTTATGTCTTGGTTGAAAACAAACCAAATTTAAATAAATTTCTCACTTAGATCCAATAAGAAGGGACCATCAGGGAAGTAGATAAAGACCGTAACTAAATAGAAGCCTTTCATTTGTTCTTTTATTTTATTCATCTGTGATATTGAAAATGTTATTACAGCTCGCCATTTGAGTTGTCTGTCCTCTGCTTCAGTCTTCTGTCCTCCTGGAAATATGTCTAGTGGTGTTTCCTTTGTCTTTATATGGCGATTTCTCATTTCTCGGATATTTGAGATATTGGCGTAATATATATGAACTTTTTGAGGCGAAATAACCAGTCTCTCTTGCTTTACCCAAGAGCATTAGCACTCATTTATCCACGGCATTCAAAAACTTAATTTTATGTTAGTAGGAGTTTATAATCAACCAATCATCAACAAGCATCATTGAAAAACAAGGCGTAGGTATCTCATACAAAATTTGTACACTTGTTAATAACAAAAATTGAAAATCTGTTTACAATGATTCATCAAACAATGTGCTTCGCATTGTCTCCATGTTACATATATTTTAATAAAGGATCCAGCAGGAGTTGTATGTTTTCAGACATAAATGTGTGCATAAAACGTATAGAGCCTACAGTGAATGACATTGATCCTAGAAAAATAGGGCCGCCATGTTGAAACTATTTTCTATTCTCATAACTAATCTCAGTCAACATTAGATTTATGTATATTTATCAAATGAGTACTCAAACCAGTGATGAATATAAACTGGCAAAGAGTTCTTCTAACCTTTGCCCAAGTATTAGGCACTCTGCAGTGAAGTTGATTAGCGTGTTCTAAGCGTTGTTTATTAATGAAGTTAATGTTTAACGCTTACAACTTCATTAAGTAAACTTCTTTAATTTTCTGTCCACTGCCATATTTTACGAAAGAGAATCTAGGTCCTCGTCTCTTCAGTTACCATGGAAACAGTGGAAATTATAGTTTATTTTATTAAAGACGATGTACTTAAACAGCCTGAGGCGTTTTTTAATATAACTGACCAACTCTCTTTAATACCATTAAATTCTTGAATCACGGAAAAATCAGAGGAGTAAACACACATAGGCCTAATCATAAGCATTATACAATAATGACCCAAACCCCTTTTCAGAATTACCATATCAACAGTTAAAACAACACACATTCTTAAATATTATTCCATAAGGCCCCAAAATCCCTTAACAGCAAATAATCACCAACCAACCTACAATCTTGAATGTTTATAGCCCAACACATTTATTAGCTGTCTTATATAATTTATCTTGTTTTTGAGTCCTGCGTTACCCCTTTGGCTGCGTCGCTTGACATAGCGTATGGAGAATGTTCTATGTTCACACATAGGAAATCAAATTACTAAATTGTGAAAATGTCGATTGACGAAGTGGTCATTGCATGCCGCAATTAATTGCATTCCAAGCGTTTTCACAAACACCATGTTTCGAGTAATCAGGAATGGGTATCTAAGTACATATAACAAGCAAATGTTGGTTGGTTGATAAAGATAATTTGCTGTTGCGGAAAAATATGTTTCCTCGACATAAAGCTTCTGTACAAGCAGTTTCTCTAGCATCTCAGTTCACATTTTTCTTACCGATCAGCAGATTGATGCCTTCAGCCAGGTCCTTGTCGTATAGAGTGACGACTTTGCGCCCATCAACCAACAGTGGCGTGATGTCCAGCAAAACACCCTCTGTGACGTCACAGTGATCGTACCCCGGACGAGTCACCCCGTACACCGCCGTCTCTGGCTGCCTCCTGTGCAGACAGATCACATACGGTAATGAAACACGTAAAATGGGGGGGGGGGGGCATAAACGTAGGAGTCCAACGAACGTTTCTTCCACCATTCCTTGCATGCGGTCTGAAAGCGAACTCGAAAATAGGGCCGTAATTGATCTGCTAAGTCTGCCTGCTTTGCCTTCACAGTTCAGCATATTTCAATGAAATTCGGTGGTAAGAAACTAAAACATAACATATCGGAAAATTTTAATCTTAATTTCAATTCGTGGTTATCCACAAAACGCCTATTTTACTTTAAGCTTAAATCAATCTTAATCAGAATTTTAAAGAATTTATGGAATTGCTTGCCTAACTTAAAATATTGGTTGGGGAGACTGGCCTAAAATGACATATTTTCCATATAAATCGGTTTATCACATTAACATTGACCGCTCACTACATGACTGCATTCTTTCTGTAATGTACGGAGTATGAAAAAATATTTGCTACACGTGCAGCTGGTCTTTCTATGGCAATTTAAAAAAATAAACATTATTAGAATGTCAACAGTTTGTAATTTCAATCCAACATCCTGGGTAAACTGACATAAATACTTCCATGCTTCTCGTGAGCTACTGTTATGATAAGCAATATATTTATTGCTTATCATATACAATACAAAATGTATCATTATGAACAATATATTAGGCTTAGAGGAGTTAAGCAGGAAACAGAGTAAAAGAACACAAAACACCAGAACCTTCATCTTATTGTTAATAACAAAGTAAAGCACATTCAAATAATAAAGTCTGATATATAATAGTAAAAGTTAACTTCTTCGTAATAAGATCTGAAAGCACGAAATAAGGTGTAATCAGAAAAAAATAATGAAGAACGGGTTTGAAAGCTCCGTAAACTCAAAATCTTTCCGCTGTTGTAATATCAAGTTACATCTGTCCCGTATCTGCATCCAAAGCGGTCTTACTTTGAGGTCCCTGCTTACGGATTTAGTGGAACTAATCTGGGGGGGGGGGGGGT